TTGAATGTTTAAAGTATTTTTAGTAGGTACTGTCATACAAATAGTCTGATACTAAATTAAACTTCAGTTGTGTTGGTCATGACATGTATTCTTGAGATGCAAACGAAAGCATAAGTGGCATCATGGCCGACTGGTTCAAGCGTCGGACTAGTAATCTAAGGATTGCTGACGGCGTTGGTCCAAACCCTGCCAGGAGAATGCCGTTGTTTCATTGAGACTTTACAATCATGTTTTGTACTCTAGTTCGTTACAGGAACTGATTCGAGAGTGCTTCGATAAGCTTATACTCGTAGCTTCCAACACAATCGAGCTAAAATACATTTGTATAAACTAAACGAGAGCATACATTTTGCAGGCAAAATATAGCTTGTAGTTGGCTAAGAATAATTTACACGTACATTTTAAGCCCTCGAAATTTAATGTATTAATATAAATTTCACGACAAAAAGTTAGCGACTGCATTAAAATAATCACATTATGAAGAATTTGATTTCACAGACAATTCCGGCAAGTAAAAGACAATAATAAAGACCACTTATCAAGTAACTGATCATCAATTTTTTGAGTAATTGAGGTAGATGATTGATGATAATAATGAAAATAAAATGTCAACTGTATGGGTGGATTGAATAGAGATAGACATACTGTACTTGCACAAAATGTCTATCTTATTAATACTTTGAATTGACTTTTTACCAGTGTACTCTGTTTTATTTTGACGATTAATTTCTAGTGTGCAAAATGACTAAATGCAATTTTTCATTAAAGTTGAGCTGGTTTAAGGTTTGCGTAACAAATCAATTTTCTTGATAATTCTTTGCTACGTTTTTCATAAATTGTGTTATTTGGCTTCCCCGACTATAGACTACACGTGTGTTTTTAAAGGTAATCAAATAAAAATACATAAATTTCTTTACCTACCAGTGAAATTTTCCAGTTTCATTTGTTGTTAGAGGCCGCCATTCTTTATGTAACCAATAATAATCGACGAAATAATCGCAATTTTTCGGCTGATGAATAATAATCGGGGTATTCTATTGTAAAACTGAAGCGGTGCATAGAATAATGAATGACACCTTTAAAACGAAAAATGTAAGATATAAAAGGAGATACAAATTTATACTATCAGTGAATGAATTGTTGTTGTCTATGGGAGTTATTTCTTAAGTCGTATTTCTTGAATCGTATGACATGTTAAAATGTTGTCACAATCAATCAAGATTTGTATTAAAAACGCATGTTCGCAATTTATTTAAACACATCTGAGTCAGTAAAATATTAAGAGTTTAGCTTTCTAAGCGATCATAACCCAACTGCATCTGCAATTTAACCCTGGAGGTATGCGTTTTTTTTATAAAACTAAATAGGTATAGCAATGGTTATGTGTAAAATTACAAATATGAGTGATAAATATTATCAAAGTAATCCTATTTCGGTGCGTTCTGTATGGAGAGCCGAGTTGTTAAATAAATAAATTAAAGATAGCCATCAAAGTAATCCTTATTTGGTGCGTTCTATATGGAAAGCAGAGTTGTAAAGTAAAAACACGAAAGATAGTCATTAAGGCAATAGAAGTAACGGAATGAAACTAGAGGATGCTTTTGTAAAAAAGCGCATGTCTCCCCCACTGCTGAGAATAACTGTGAATGGAAACAGGAATGGAAATGGAGATAAGATAATGTAAATACCCGGTAGTCACTTCAATGAAGGCTGTCTATGGATGGTTTCTATTGTTAAGGTTGTATGAGAAGATGCTTCCTAAACTGTTTGTTTTTAACCAGGTATTCAATTTTGAAAATCCTGGTTATTCAATCAGCGTATGGCAGGCGTGCGTCAAACGAAATTGCACTTGATGGTCATATCATATATAGTTTCACAAATGAAATTAAATGAAATTGTGTCTGCTCCATAATTCTTCAAACCTTTAAAGGATTTTGATGATACTTGAAACAAACGTTCATATTGTCAGATTTTTTTACACTATTGAAAGACAACTCAAATTACAATGTATGTAAAATCATGATAACTGTAGTGTGTTGGGATGACTCCACTCGTTTTCACAATGAAGCCTCTCTGGTAGATACTTGAAACAAAAATTCACCACATCCAGAGAACGTGTAGAGTACATGTTTCGTATGGCTGGTTCCAAGGTCAAGGTCTACTTGACACTTGAATGTCATATCATATATAGTTTCACAAACGAAATTAAAGGAAATTGTGTCTGCTCCATAACTCTTCAACCCTTTGAAGGATTTTGATGATACTTGAAAGTTGTAACGCAATACCAATAAATATGTACATAGTCTGAATGGTGCCATGCTTTTAGTATACTATTAGTAATAGTTAACAAGAATAGAAAGTGATATACTATATACTCACATATTGCATGAAAACTCACTCGCTAGTAGGAATTTGTAGTTATCATCAGCAAACAAAACAATGCGTGTAATACACCTTGCTGTGACCATGTAGCATTGAACGCGCAGCGGGGAAGAAATGACCGCATAAGGGTGGAAAGATCAAAAAAGAACAGAGTATATAAAACCAGACAACTGATATATCACTGATATATCAATAATAGTTAAATGTCCTCACTGATAAGAACTCTAGTTATCATCCGGAAATGAGAAAATGACCAATGGTCACTGTGACCTTAACCTTTGACCTACTGACCCCATAAACAAGAGGGATCATCTGCTCAATAAGACCAATCATCCTATGAAGTTTGAGGGTTGTAGGTCTAAAGGAACTCTAGTTATCATCCGGAAAGGAGAAATTAACCAACGGTCGCTGTGACCTTGACCTTTGACCTACTGACCATTAAAACAATAGGGATCATTTGATTAATAAGACCAATCATCCTATGAAGTTTGAGGGTTGTAGGTCAAAAGGAACTCTAGTTATCATCCGGAAATGAGAAATTGACCAACGGTCACTGTGACCTTGACCTTTGACCTACTGACCCCAAAAAACAATAGGGATCATCTGCTCTATAAGACCAATCATCCTATGAAGTTTGAGGGCTGTAGGTCAAAAGGAACTCTAGTTATCATCCGGAAACGAGAAATTGACCAACGGTCACTGTGACCTTGACCTTTGACCTACTGACCCCAAAACAATAGGGATCATCTGCTCTATAAGACCAATCATCCTATGAAGTTTGAGGGCTGTAGGTCAAAAGGAACTCTAGTTATCATCCGGAAACGAGAAATTGACCAACGGTCACTGTGACCTTGACCTTTGACCTACTGACCCCAAAAACAATAGGGATCATCTGCTCTATAAGACCAATCATCCTATGAAGTTTGAGGGCTGTAGGTCAAAAGGAACTCTAGTTATCATCCGGAAACGAGAAATTGACCAACGGTCACTGTGACCTTGACCTTTGAACTACTGACCCCAAAAACAATAGGGATCATCTGCTCAATAAGACCAATCATCCTATGAAGTTTGAGGTCTGTAGGTCTAAAGGAACTCTAGTTATCATCCGGAAACGAGAAATTGACCAACGGTCAGTGTGACCTTGACCTTTGACCTACTGACCCCAAAAACAATAGGGATCATCAGGTCTATAAGACCATTCATCCTATGAAGTTTGAGAGCTGTAGGTCAAAAGGAACTCTAGTTATCGTCCGGAAACGAAGAATGGACGGACGGACTGACGGACGGACGGACTGACGGACGGACAGGGCAAAAACAATATGTCTCCCCCCGAGGTGGGGGAGACATAATTATTTTCCACATAAACCATCAGGGTAGATTGATCTCATTGAAGAGGTTCATTGGTCCGACGTAAGGAAGTTTTGTGTTAGAAATAAAGATCTCTAAGATATGTGAATAATTTGCTTCTATAAGCTTAATGCTATACTTTTAAAGGATGCATAGCGTTTTGTTCTTCTTCAATACTCTTTAATTGAAAATGTTCTTGACAATGTCATTCAATGATGAAAGCAATTAATCTAGTGTTCATCATAAGACTATATTATATTCTGAAGAGAGAACAATTCTACAGAAGTATCTTTCCTGATAAACATGATATTAAAGCCCGCTAATAATACCGCATGTGGTTCTAGAATAAGATGGTCCCAATATAAGGGGAATATCTTTAAAATAATGTTAATGTCAATAGATACCTGGTGTATGTTGTTAACACGAACACTGATTATTTCCAAGGGAAATGTTGTACAATTTCGAAAATTTAGGAATTAAATTCAACATTATTCTACATTGATTTTAATTGTCGAGCCATGTTAAAGGCCCTAGTTACACAGACGGTCGGTCCCCAATCGGTCATTTAATTTTAAATTTACTCGCTGTTTGATCGGTTGTCATGTGTGATTTCATTTCTGGTTTTCTGTGTAAACGGCCATCGGTGATGGACAAGTGTTCAATCGGTTAAACAAACATTTCATTGGTTGCTGGTAGGTGACAGACAGCAACTCAAACGGGGTTGGATCGGTGATAAGGATGTTTTCATCGATAAAAGTGCTGAAATACTATCGGTTTTTGTCGTTTGTAAATCGGAGCTAAATCGGGCGTAACGCTGATTAATCGGTGTTTGATAGCTAGTCATCAGTGGTTAAAAACTTTCCGTCAGATATAGCCGGTGATTCATATTTGGTTATCTTTGTCCGATCGGCGATATCGGTGATTAAGAGCTTGCATATCTCGTGATATAGGTTGCTGTCGGTTCTTTTATTAAAACAAAATGTTTAAGTTATGAGAACCGATGATTATTTTGCACTTGACCGAATAACACCATGGAGGATGTCGGAGCCATCCAGCAATTTGGTGTCATGTTGCAGCAGCAGGCAATTCTTTATGTCCGGTAGGCCATTCAGCTCGTTCAGCAGCCCATAGCTGATCTTAGACGCCGCCGAAGGAGACGGTTGACCAGGCCCTAGTTAACCCAGGAGAGAAGGCTTCAGTTTGGACAGTATAGCACCATTCTTGCAGAGTTGAGGGAAGGAGACACCAGATCCTTCAAGCACTATATGAGGATGACCCTGGAAATGTTCGACGAGCTTCTGCAACGCCTCGCACCAAGACTTCAGAAGTCAGACACCAACTGGAGAAAAGCCCTAGATCCCGGATTGAAGCTGGCGGTAACACTCAGGCACTTGGAAGCAGGAGATTCCTACCCTTCCCTCTCCTATGATTTTAGGGTGGCTAGGACAACAATTTCCCTCTTTATCCCAGAAGTCTGCGAGGCCATAGTACAAACATACAGCGAAGAGGTCATCCCTATCCCCAATACACCTGAAGAATGGAGACCAATAGCTGAAGAGTTTGAAAGGAGGTGGAATGTCCCTCATACATGTGGAGCACTTGATGGCAAACACATTGCACTGAGGAAGCCCCGCAGATCGGGTTCTGAATACTACAACTATTAAGGATTTTTCTCAATTGTGCTCATGGCTCTTGTTGATGCCAACTACAAGTTTCTGTGGATAGACGTCGGAGGCCATGGGCACATGTCAGATGTCCAGATATATAACAATTCCGAGCTCAGTGAGATGCTACAAGATGGAGCCATTGGCTTCCCACCTCCAGAACCTCTTCCAAATGACGACCGTGATACGCCGTACTTCATTCTTGGTGACGATGCTTTTAGGTATTTTATGTATTTATTTATTCTCCCCGGGTCTCATGACCCCTTCCCCTGTGCCCTTTGACTTTATGGGCCTATTACTCAATCATTTATTTCTTTTCTTTTAGTTCCTTATCAGTTACTAATTATTTTTTCTTATGTATGATTTAGTGGTTAGTAGCTTGCCTATGCTCGTCATTGTGCCCTGTTCTGTTTTTGTTTTGGGTTCTCCTTGGCTCCTTGCCACTGGCTCTTGTTACTGGGTCGGGTTGGGGTTCGCCTTTCCTTGTTGATCTTGTTTATCATATTTTAATTAAGGATAAAGTAAGCCTCCATTTTGTTAGAAAGTTTTTTCCGTCAACAGAGGTGATGATATGCTGAATGACTGCAAAATATATTGATTAACTATAAAAAACAGTCCTAAGCAACATGTGAAAACGAATTCTTGGTAAGATATGATGAAACCGGACCACAGGTATTATCTGTCATGTATTCATAACATGAATACAATAAGTAATTGATTGACAATATTATTCATAAATGACAAATGAAATTACTTTCATGTCATAAAATGATTTATATCTGTCATTTTTAGCTCGACTATTCGCAGAATAATCGAGCTAATGCAGTCACCCATTTGTCGGCGTCGGCGTCGGCGTCGGCGTCCCTGTGTATAGTTTTTGTATGTAAGCTGGTATCTCCATAACTACTGAAGGGAATGGATTGAAACTTCACACACTTGTTCTCTGTGATTATCTAAGATGATTGGCACAAGTCCCATAACTCTGATTTGCTTTTTTTCATAATTATGCCCCTTTTTCGACTTAGAAATTCTTGGTTAAGTTTTTGTATGTAAGCTGGTATCTCCATAACTACTGAAGGGAATGGATTGAAACTTCACACACTTGTTCTCTGTGATTATCTTAGATGATTGGCACAAGTCCCATAACTCTGATTTGCTTTTTTTTTCATAATTATGCCCTTTTTTCGACTTAGAAATTCTTGGTTAAGTTTTGTATGTAAGCTGGTATCTCCATAACTACTGAAGGAATGGATTGAAACTTCACACACTTGTTCTCTGTGATTATCTAAGATATTGGCACAAGTCCCATAACTCTGATTTGCTTTTTTTTCATAATTATGCCCCTTTTTCGACTTAGAAATTCTTGGTTAAGTTTTTGTATGTAAGCTGGTATCTCCATAACTACTGAAGGGAATGGATTGAAACTTCACACACTTGTTCTCTGTGATTATCTAAGATGATTGCACAAGTCCCATAATCTGATTTGCTTTTTTTCATAATTATGCCCCTTTTTCGACTTAGAAATTCTTGGTTAAGTTTTTGTATGTAAGCTGGTTTCTCCATAACTACTGAAGGGAATGGAGATTGAAACTTCACACACTTGTTCTCTGTGATTATCTTAGATGGATGGCACAAGTCCCATAACTCTGGTTTGTTTTTTTTCATAATTATGCCCTTTTTCGACTTAGAAATTCTTGGTTAAGTTTTTGCATGTAAGCTGGTATCTCCATAATCTACTGAAGGGAATGGATTGAAACTTCACACACTTGTTCTCTGTGATTATCTAAGATGATTGTACAAGTCCCATAACTCTGATTTGCTTCTTTGCATAATTATGCCCCTTTTTCGACTCATGAATTCTTGGTTAAGTTTTTGCATGTAAGCTTGTATCTCCATACTTACTGAAGGGAATGTATTGAAACTGGAAGAGTTTGTACCTTTTCGGACAATTTTATGTATTCATATAGGTAAGCATTATTATACTCAATGAAACACCCTTGTGACAAATTTTCGAATAGTCGAGCGTTACTGTCCTCCGACAGTTCTTGTTTTAAATAGTTGAGATATCAATTTGGTCTGATCTGCTTTGTTTCAAAAGCACGTGCAGTATTTATTATGTTTATTAAGTATAAATAATTGATAATAATCGCCTGTATACTGGTGTCAGACGTTTAATTAAAAAAATTTTTAAAAAAAATGCCTGCCTATACAGTGCAAATTTTTTATTGATGAATTTAAAAAAGGTTTAAATTTGTGTTTTTTGTTTGTTCCCCCTCACTCTCCTTGGTAAATTTTTCCTGAAAAAAATTTTAGTTATGTTTTTCACTAGAAACCTTGATGGGGCGTTAAAAAGGGGTTTTTCAAGTAACGAACTTAATTTATACAGTAAAAACTTGGGGAAGTATTTAAATATAGCATTCACATTGCTTTTTTACAAAATAACAAAAAGGAAAAGGAAAAAAAATAACTAGTAAAAAACATTATAATTTTTGTGTCCGTGTTATGGTTTCTTGCTCTACAATAAATTGTATGAAAGCAAACTTATTATTTATTGTAAAAAAAATCAACAACTACTAACGTGGTATGCTTATTAAAATTTGAATTTAACTACGATTTAACTACGAGATTTTCCCTAGACAAATTAGATAATTTAGAAATAATATTGCTTAATTGACTCGTCGTGGTTTTAAAGTACAGATGACACATGTTGCTTCATCTTCAAATAAGCATACATTTTAATCTTATCCTGGAAAATATATTTAGTTGGTTTATATTAAATTAAAGTTTGTAATAAATCAATAATTGTGTTGTTTGTATTTAGTTGTTTAGTATTTAGAATCATATGCGACAGCAAACTACAAAATAGATATATAAATGTTGTTGGAAAGTGATGCATGATCCGATAATCAGATCTTTATAATGAATAGCTCTATATTCGTCATATACACACCAATGATTAAACAATTCTAATTTCTTTCTTATTTTCAAGCATGATTTGATATGAAAAATACCAAAACGATACATTTCTCTTGTTTTCATTGATATTTAAAATACTTATTGAATATTTGTCAATTGTAGACAAATCCTTTTAAAAGACAAATATAGATAAACAGTTTTTCGCTGTTGCATATTTGTGTTTGTTGTTGTTGTTCAATACAACATATCTTTCAAATTCCATACATTTTAATTTGGTACCTTTTCATGATGTTGTTAACAACATCATCAGATTCTTTAACAACGTCATTATCAATATAAATATTATTATAATTTTTATATACGTTATTACCCAATAACCACACTAATGTTACACTCTCGAAAACGTTAGATGTTTCTTTTTATCTAGCTAGAATAATATGCAAAAAATATGAGTTTGAAATTATATCTGAATAAAAATGTTCATCTTTTTCATAGTCCAGTTGAGCTGAACTGACTCTATATTTCAAAATATTGACTTTAATACGATGATTGACGTTATATTGGAATATTTAAATCTGCCTTAAATATTAAAACACTGCCCCACTCTTTGATGAACTGAACGTTACAGGTAAATCCTAATGGATATTAACAAAACAATCATTTAGTCCATGCGTTCTTTACTTCTAACCTGAAATATGTTTTTATTTTAAAAGGAATTATGGCAAAATGAAAAAATTGAGTGAAAAGATGCAAGTCAAATTATTTTTTTCATTTTGCCATCAACGAACGAGTTTTAGAGATATCAGCCTGAAACTTCATACATTGAAATATCTTATAAAGAAAAACTAAATTACTATTATTAAGCAAAAAAAGATACATAAATTTTAGGTTTCGCATTTCGTTTAAGAGTGAAACAAAGCAGGGGAACAGTAACTCTACACTTGAATAAAATATTAATGTCGGATAGGGTATTATACTACGATAATAATGTACAACACGTTGTGTCTGGTTTATACGTCTATTCAAAACTACTAACGTTTATATTACAAAACATAGAAGTGAGTACTCTCGTCACGCATATTGCGTCATAAACGCACAGCATATTAGCGCAATCCGACATTCGGGGCCGCAAAATGATAAATATGAAATAACTATCATTTGTAATTTCTCAATCTTATATATAGACTCTTTCTAAATATATTAAATAAAGTCATTGTTTTAAATATAAGCAAAATGTCTCTCTCACTCAAATCAATAATTCATAAAAGTTAAGTCTTGTTCGCTGAAATTAGTGAATTTATCAATTTGACTGCCTATAAGTTTATCCATTTTACTCTTTCTCATTTACCAACGATAAAGTTAGCAGGTCTGGTGTATGATCACTTCCGGTAGAGATCTTGCTGCTGCTGATAATCCAGCTAACCGGGCATCATTCGTCTATCACAGCAAGTTCACGTATCTACGACATTCTCGTGCACCTTATACGTCACAATCGCGTATTCGTCTGCGTTATGACCACTTCTTTGTATGTCGTTCATTAACGAATCAGATAATCAAATTCCAATTTCCCAAATTGTTACTAACACACCTGAACTCTGAAACGTTGTGGAACTACGGTTTACATATTACATTCTGTTGTCGATCGTTGTCAGTAATCTGTTAACCCGGACCATGGGATAAGTGTGATAGGAGTAAGCGGTTCTGGATCTAACTATGTCGGACGTACGTATATGGCGGTCGTTGAAGAGGCTGAATCTCGTAGCTATGTCTGCAAAACTACGGAAACTAACGAAATTGATCGAGCCAGAACTTTCTTTTAAAGCCGGTCTAACAAGTCCATCATTCCTACACCAGCCACTCAATAGCCACGGGCCCGTTTGGTATAGAATCGCCACTGCATTCTTTTAAAGCCAACCTTTCCTTCCAATGTTGTATCTAACAAGGCACTTAAGTGTCGATGCTGCTTGGAATGTCGTTTGCGTTCGTCAGATAAATGAGTCTAGGCATGACCGCTCTGCTAACCCAACGCCGAAATGCTGCAATAAATGTGTCCTTCTGAAAGGTCCATGGCATCGGAGTTCTATGTGTACACTCGGGTGGATGCGCATGTAAACAAGCAACATACCTTTGACCCCTAACCATGGTTTCTTCTCGACGATAAAGTGCCCTGAAAGTCAAACTGTAACTGTGAGTGGTGGTGAGCTTCAACATCTGAATGCTGGTAAGGTGTGGTGATCTGGTACAATGTAGGGTTTACAATTACTTTACGACAAGTCGTACATTTTCTGAGTTGTAATTTTACACATTGTCGTATCACAGGAATCCAAAATGTCTGTCGTATGTGGCATATAGTAGCACTAATTCCGGAATGAAGTTGTTTTTCATGTGCATCAAGTATGATTAGTCGTGTCAGAGGATGTTTTGGCTGGCAGTAAAATAGGGAATTTTGTATTTTCATCTATAGTGGCATTGTGTATTCTACCACCACATCTGATATAACCATCTTGGTCTAGGTAAAGTCGTAACTGTCGTACCAATGGAAGTCGTGATTTACCAGATTTCAAATTGTTTATCACTTCTTTGTAAGTTTATACTGGCAGTGTTGAGTCAGCTTCATTTTAGCTTTAAATAGTTCTTGTACGGTGATGGGCCCGTTTTCTTGATTCACGTTGTATCATACAATTGTGTATAAATCTCATTACAAATGCTGTAATTCTAACTACCTTTTTATATACTGCTGTATCTTAGTAAATATTATGACATTGTGTAAGACCATCTCAGGTGTGTATGGATATATCGTTATTAAGCCAAGGTTACTTCGGTCTATGGTCTCATTAGATACGTCGTCCTATGGTAAATAGCCTCTAACTTTCCCAAAGTGCACTGTTTCGGAATTAACCATTTGGACCATTCATGTATAAGTTTTGTCTGTACTCGGATTGCTGTTATGCTCCGTAATAAAATCCAGCTGATTTGTTGGCTAGGACAGTATTCCACTTCCGGTCAATGTTATTTCGGATTTCTTACCTTATTCTGTAGAATCTTCATGTAGTTTTGTTGTTTCAACCAATGTAGTACGATTGGCTGTTGACCAAATATAATTCCTGTATTGCCATAGCTTGCGTGTAGTGATTGCTAATACGAGCGCCATTACTGCATGCCATATAGATCTCAACTGGTAAACTGAGTTCTCAACGTGCAACGCGTGATGTTGAAGAATGAGTTTTCGATTCCTGGGGTTTCGCATCAAGTATGCACTGGCCATAACGGATACTGAATCAACAAAAACAGTTAGTACTGGGTCTCTTTGTTCAAGCATTTGTCGCTGCTACCGAGAACAAAATATAGTCTGAGAATCTTTGGTATTTTTGTACATGTGTTGATATCAGTGCAAGTTGCTGGCCAGTTTTGCTGGAATATTCAGTAAAGATGTATTTCCATGGCAACTTCTCTCTCCACATATTCTTGTAGAACTTTTGTCACGTATCAACTATCGGACTAAGTAAGCCCACAGTGAGTCCATATATCCTCGCATGTGTACTGAAAATACTCTTTGTAGGTCACTTATCCAAGATAATAGGAATGTCTCTATCTGGGTATGATAATCTCTCCTGTTTGTAACCAATAACAATCTACATTTCGTTACTAATTGTTGTCAAGAACACCTTCTTCTGTAGCGGTTGCTTGCAGCCGGCGATTATTAGATGCCCATGACCTCAAGTTAAAATAGATAAATACAGAATCCCTAAAGAAAGCCCAACACGGCAAAATTATAAATGTTGCAGGCTCGGTTTGATTGAGCCTGTTCATGGACGGTACTGGAAAGTGCAAGTTACCGTCCACGCCCCCTAGCACCGGCTTAAGCAGAATTCAACATTTGAACGTGAAATAGTAAAACTTTGAATTTAGAATCATCCGCAGATGTGTTCATACGGCGGTTATCATGGAACCTTCAATGTGACACTTCCGTGCCATTCCATGAAAAGCGGCGTATGGTCCCCAAGTAATAAAAAGTGTGTGCCCTAAACGAGAAAACAATGGGCGGAACTAAATCAAATGGAATTTTGAAAGGGGATCAGAGGTTATGAAGCCTGCATATCACAGATAAGACGTCAAAAGACAAATTTAAAAAGCAGGCAACATATCCTAAGGGTGATTCAACATTATTCAAGTAGGAATATTGGAACCACCCAATTAGAAAATGCCGAAAATTTGAACCTAAAAATACCACAAGCACAACAATAATGTCGTGCTGAACGATCTTCAAGGATCGAAAATATAACATCATTGATTAAATGTACGGGGAGACTTTTTACAGCCGCCACACGGCACAAATAACACGGATGTGATCATAAAATAGATAAATACAGAATCCCTAAAGAAAGCCCAACACGGCAAAATTATAAATGTTGCAGGCTCGGTTTGATTGAGCCTGTTCATGGACGGTACTGGAAAGTGCAAGTTACCGTCCACGCCCCCTAGCACCGGCTTAAGCAGAATTCAACATTTGAACGTGAAATAGTAAAATTTTGAATTTAGAATCATCCGCAGATGTGTTCATACGGCGGTTATCATGGAACCTTCAATGTGACACTTCCGTGCCATTCCATGAAAAGCGGCGTATGGTCCCCAAGTAATAAAAAGTGTGTGCCCTAAACGAGAAAACAATGGGCGGAACTAAATCAAATGGAATTTTGAAAGGGGATCAGAGGTTATGAAGCCTGCATACCACAGATAAGACGTCAAAAGACAAATTTAAAAAGCAGGCAACATATCCTAAGGGTGATTCAACATTATTCAAGTAGGAATATTGGAACCACCTAATTAGAAAATGCCGAAAATTTGAACCTAAAAATACCACAAGCACAACAATAATGTCGTGCTGAACGATCTTCAAGGATCGAAAATATAACATCATTGATTAAATGTACGGGGAGACTTTTTACAGCCGCCACACGGCACAAATAACACGGATGTTAAAGCCCCCTTGTAACATTAGGTCTCTTGTATCTCGGAAATACCTTAAGACTTCCTCTTCTGTGCGAAAACTTGATAATATGTTGTCTACGTATAGGTCTCGCTTCAAGATTTTACTGACCCAGCTGGTAGCGTTCATGTCTAGATGTTTGAGTAATGTAGCGCTGAGTATAAACGGTGAGCATGTGGCACCAAATAGGACTGATTTAAATCTATATGTTGTTAGCGGGCTGTCAGCATTATCCGGGTTGCTCAACCAAAGGAATCTGGTTACGTCTCTGTCATCTTTATGTAATCGTACATTGAGAAAAGCCTTTTCTATGTCAGTTGAGATTGCATATTTCTCAAGTCTAAACCGAACCATTATGTGTGATAAGTCATTCATTATGGGTGGGGTAGAATCAAGGCAGTCGTTCAAACTAGGTTTATTAGCTGATTCACGGCAACTGCAGTCATACACAATACGAATTGGAGTCGTAGTTGAATCTTTCTTGACTGCATGATGGGGTATATAATGCACTTGGGTCGATATTTCCTCGTTCTCGTCAACTTTTTCTATGAAACCTCGTTGTTCTTGTTCTTGTATTATCTCTGCGTATTTCTGTAAGATACTTGGGTCTCGGCGGAGGCGTTTAATCAAAGATTCTGTTCTTCTTTTTGTCACGTCGTAATTTGTCGGGAGAGTGTCGTGATCCTCTTTCCATGGGAGTTTGGCTTCATATTTACCGTCTGTAAACTTTACACAGTTTTGTTTGTATATCTCTAATGTGTCAGTATAATCGTCTTCTGCGGGGTTTATTCCTAGGGACTCAAGTTTCCAAAATCTGTCAATATCTGTACTCATTACATTCATAACTAAATAACTCTGATTCCTTGGTCCATGCGCTTGAACCGGACCAGACAGTAAGTATCCAATACTAGAACTAACTGCTGTAGGACCATCTCCTCGAACCGTTTCGTTTCCTACGATATTCCAGTACTGGTCAGCTCCGATCAATAACGATATTTCAAAACTTTCTTCATTTATGACTGGATGTGCTAATTTTAATTTTCTTAGGTGGGGTAACGACGTCACGGACTGGGGAATGTGACGTAGTGGGACGGCGATTGTTGGGACGATCATAACTTCCAGGGGTAAATTGTCACCTGCATCGGTCAGTAGATATATGGTCGTAGTGTCTAAATGTCGTAGTTTCTGCGATGAATCTCCAAATGCTGCCAAACTAATGGCACTGCTTCCACGTGGCTGAACATTTAATCTTTTGGCTAGTTTTTCAGAAATAAAGGATCGCTGTGCCTTTTTATCAAAAAGAATGTTTGCCTGCGCGAACTGTGTCTCAGAACATACTTGAGCGACAGCTGTTTTTAATAAAACGTCTGGTCGGGTTTCGGATCTTGAGTGTAAAACTGTTGCCTGTATTTGAGTGGAGGTATCACTTCCGGTTGAAGGTAGGTTTGTCGGGCAAGTATTTATTTTCGGCCTTGAATCTGGACAATTTTCACATATACTAGTATGGTGTTTTCTTTTACATTTCAAGCATCTGAAGTGTGATCGGCAGTTAATTACTTGGTGATTTTTCAAACAATTAAAACATAAATGCTTCTTTCTTATTATGTCCTTTTTAACCCTCACATCAATTAACTTTGTGCAATCGTTAGCATGGTGATTTTCATTGCAGTAAATACACTTTCTCTGATCAATAAGCGTTTTGTGCATCCGTCTGTGTATCACGTGACTTCCGGCTTCCGGTTTCCGTCTAGCGCCCGTGAAAAACGACGCTGTAGTTCTATAACCAGCTAAATCATCTGTAGTCTGTCCGGCCTCCATGATATTCAGTTCACGATATAACGCTTTTCGTAAAGTTTCTAATGACCACTTATCGCTGCCATTTTCTCGTGCTAAACTCTTGCGAATTTCTGCCGGAAGTTTGTCTATAATGACTGGTACTAAAAGAGTTCCGTACGTATTTTGACACTGACCTAGCGATTCCAATCCGCGAATATAAGCTTCTAATTTGTCGTAATAGTTTCTCATACTGTGTAGAGTATTGCTCGGGGCTGGCAGGTTTAGTAACGCCTGTATATACGCATGAATGATTTTATGACTCTGTCCGAACCTCTCCTTCAGTAAATCGACTGCTTGAATGTAATTTGCATGCGTAAGTGCAAATCCTTGAATAACTTGAGCCGCACTGCCTTCTAGTTGCGTCTTCAAATAATTAAATTTTTGTACTTCTGTAAGATTCGGGTTTTGATGAACAGAGGAATCAAAAGCATCCCAAAAACTTTGCCATTCGAGAATGTCACCACTAAATACAGGTAGCGATAATTTCGGCAGTCTCTGATAAAGCGACGTATTTGAATGAAATGTACTCACATTTTGCAAAGAACTGTTACCATTATTCACGTTATTATTTTCGATTGAAGAACCACTTCTGTCCTCCATCTGGATTTGCGGGTTAGTTGCTTTGCTATAGGCTTGAAGTTCTCTCACCTTTATTTCCAGCGTCAATCCATATTCTTCACTGCTTATTATTTCCTCCTCGATATCCGTTACTTCCGTCAGTTCTATAATCTTTTCGTTTAAGGAATTAATTGTCTCTGCTCCACTGATTATGGCTTCAAGAATTGCGTTAAATTCTATCATTGATGAGTTATCTTTCGCTCGTTCAATCCGTTCAAGCTTTATTTCGATACATCTTCGCTGTCCCTCTCTGACTGATCGCAATTTATCTATCTTCATGTTTTAGTCACGGCACCAATGTCGGATAGGGTATTATACTACGATAATAATGTACAACACGTTGTGTCTGGTTTATACGTCTATTCAAAACTACTAACGTTATACTACAAAACATAGGAAGTGACGTACTCTAACGTCACGCATACGTTGGCGTCATTTAACGGCACATGCATATGAGCGCAATTCCCGACAATTAATTGAATCAATCGACGAATTTGCGTATTCACCATTTACATAGACAAATGCATGAAAGGTTTAAAGCTCAACGTTTGAACATAATTATTATGTCATATACATGTTTATCGTTTTGTATTATGCATGTATTAAGCTCTTGTACATGTAAATATTATGAACGACTCCTAGACTTGGTAATGTCACAGCAATGAAGTAAGCTAACGTTATTGACCGGTGGAGGAATAAATATCACAATGTTTGTATTTGATTAAAAAGACTGTAAAGCTCAATGAAAAATTTTCTAGATCGATCTGACGAAGAATTCACGTTCATATATCATACCAAACTAGGAATGGGACCGGTTTAAATATGTAAACCATTTAGATTAATGCGAACTAAGTAGATTAAAACGGGGATCGTAACAAAAGAGTAAATAAGAATCCCTAAAGAGAGCCCAACACGGCAAAGTTGAAAATGTTGCAGGCTCGGTTTTATTGAGCCTGTTCATGGACGGTACTGACAAGTGCAAACTACCGTCCACGCCCCTAGCACCGGCTTAAGCAGAATTCAACATTTAACATGAACTGGACAATTTTGAATTTTGAAACGTAAGTCATTAATTATTAATTCTTAACACATTAACTTTCAGGGCTATAAATCTGACATCATGTATAACAAGAAAACGTGTAGAATTTAGGATTCTAACCATTTGTAAAATTTGTTACTAAAGTTCTTTTCCTACAAACATAGCATTTCAACTCGTATTTTATAATATATTAATACAACCATATAAAGTTTGTTTTTATATAATAAGGAAGATATAAGAAAATACTATAATACTGATATCATTTTAGTTTAACAATTTCGCGAACATTTGTATTCTTAAGATATGCGTGTAATCATAGTGAACAAACAACTACTGAGGATATCGGATAATAATATTTTTGTCCCGTTTCGGTGCTAATTAGAGTGAATAAAGCTTTCTTTATGTTACAACTAACACCAAGTCCTTTGGGATTTTTCCATAATGGAATTGGGGTCAAAGCACTGTAACAAAAAAGTAATTTTCACTCCCCTATATTGTCAGTATATGCATGTGTCATTTCCGTTTTTTATGGTTGTTTCTATTCTGAAGGTTTTAGTGATAACAGAACATACAAAATAAATATTTTGTATTTAATAAACCTTGCATAAAAAATGCAACGTAGTAATGTGTGGTTGTAACAGTTTTATTAACATCATAGGTGCAGTTAACCTAACTAAAAGCCTTTGTTGTTTGTGTGATTTTGCAACAATGGTGTAATTATACATAAAAAAGATATATATTGACATATTGATTTCAACGGTAACAAATAATATTTTGGTAAGATACGTGATGGACACGAGCACTTTAAACTTATATGGTATCATGCAATTCTGATCTACGATCGCAAAGCAGTTTGTAAACATTGTCCGAGTTTGATGTCAACGATAAGATGTAATTAACCAAAATATTATCATTATATAACAGTGACATATTTATTTTGAAACCTCATAAAAGTTTGTTTTTAAATATGCATCACTAATGTAAAATAGTCTGCTTGTGAGTTATGTATGTTCACATTATCTAAGGAATTCGGTTTTCTATCCCCTGACAATTCTAAATACATTTTCAAGACCAATAACAAAAATAAGATACTTGTACGAAAAAGGTTAACAGAAAAAATACGAGTCCTTAGTAAATGAACTGAAATTAAAATTTGTAATTAACGAGAGAAACAAGTATGAAACGATGTACCGTAAAAAAGTTAAAAAGGTTTTAATTGATAAAGCATAGTCTTATAGTGTTATTTTTCCTACTCTATGTATACGCTCTATATATTCTCTCTAGAAATAGCCATTTCGTTGACGAGCAAATTATTGACTTATCTTACTTGCAATCGCCTTGCTGAATGTCATTTATCGAAATAAATGTATCTATGAATGTATGCAATTGAAAGTTTGTAATTGAAGTTCAAATTAAATTGATTTTGTGTTAAAATATGTGTGCCAATTTCATGAACATGATACATAGTGACCTCGAATTTAGTTCAAACAAAAACACGTTCTAATTGTTGTGAGAATATGGGAATATGGATCTTGGGCGATAGCTTTAGTCTTGTTATTCAATATTTCCATTCCTTTTTGAACTTGTCATGGTAATAATGACATGACAATTTTTTCTATCATTGAATTTGACTTTGTCATGGGTTAGTTATTGTTAAAAATAAATAAATATAATATGAATAAATACTGGTTGTTGTTTTCAATCTGCAAAAGGGTTCTAGTAATAGGTCAAACATATTCTCTTCTCATACGAACCTGTGCTTTACCTTAGTCATTCAATAACTAAAAGTCCCGTTATCCTTTTATTATACTCCTATTTTAACATGTATTGTTTGGCAATATTGAGCTGAGAATGAGGTAATAATAATGTGTATGGGTCGATATAGAAATGCAGTTTCAAATATTTATACTTAAAGCAATATATGGAATTGTGATTTATAAGGTTTATAGAAGTATGTTTAAGTTATATATAAGTTGTTTAGAATCTCTGAAATCAGAGGAATGTTAATGATTAGTGCTGTGACTGGCTAGGACATATAAAGGACAATTCCTGGATCTGTTATCATATTGTTAACCTATGCGCTCCAAACTTAACATGGTCGTTTATGATATTTTGGGCCGAATGTCTACCAAACGGTTTTTGTTGCACTGTTTCTACAAACGTTTCATAAACCTAAACCAAGCTCTTGGATAACCCATTCATAATTATCCGAATTATCTCTTTTCTTTGCAAAGTGCCTTTTTTGGATAAATTTCACGCTATTGTCCATCAAATGGATACATTAAACCCGTCATCCGGCAACGTTTGAATACAGTCTTCAAGGTTTTCTCTTTAGACTATGTTAATGGTAAATCGCTAATAATAATTAATGTTTTGATGGGATTATTGCGTGATGTACTTTCTTGAAACTCAGACATAGTTACATGACATTTTATGTAAATTGTTATATATCAGCTAGCAGTTATTTAGAAGGCAACTTACGTATCAAATGACGTTAAAAAATGATTTCAATAACTTAATATTTAATCTGATTTATTATTACAATAAAACTGATCAAGGCCATTGACTACTTTTTATTCACACAACAAAATCCGTACTTTTATTCACACAAAAAAAAACAATCAGTTATTGCAATGTCTTATAAACATTAAAAATTGAAGCATTTCCCCCCTTGGACGCAAATATAATTATTTTCAAGCTGATTATTTAAAAGGGAGGCAGGGTAATTTGCCATTGCAATTTCCGTGTAGTTGAAACTATTTGTTAAAACGAACATGTTTACCGGATGTAAGTACAATGTATATATATAATTCTATAATATAATATACGAAAATCTAAATGTTCAACACATTAAGAAATGTAAATAAAAATACTAAATATTATTTTTAACTTCTTTTCACACTACATACATTAGAACATGTACACTGTTTATAACGCAAAATGCAAAAAAACAAACAATAAGAATTGTACTTACTTTTTGTATGGATATAACGATATAAACAACGGCCGTTTAAGTGCCAAACTGACCAACATATTTTGAATGTTGAGTGTATTTTTAATGTCAAAATAATTGTTTTCTGTTTTTTGCCATCATTGTTTTTAATTTGATATTCTGTTTCACAAAAATATTTATAACTCTTATGGCCCACATACATAACAAAGTTGGACAGTCTTTATAATTTAGGCAGTTTTTTAATTAATTTATTCCATATCATTTGACATATATTAATATTGATTATTTTTCAAACAACTTAATAGTCTTTAATCTTTTATCTTTTTTCTCTCAATAATCTTTGTTTTAATTTATTGATAATTGAATAATTAGAATAATAATCACTTTAAACATGTTATATTTGAAAATGTTAAACAGCAGCTTACATGCATTTTTCTTGATTGAGAGAGGAGAAAGTTACTGATAGGGTTAAGATTTTAATATGACTAATACCTTTTGTAAACAGATTAATGTTTTGGAATAAGCTATGAGCTTTCGTCTTTCTTGTCGTAAGTAAATATAATTGATCCAATATCAACAAACCTGCTAATACTTTAAAGATTTAAAGATAACAATTTAATATTTTAATTATTATTTTGTTGTAATAACATCAAAGAAAAGGTTTTTGTTTCTCATATTAAGTATTTTAATAACGTTCCTTTTAATTCTCTGAATATCTAAGTGCATATGTGATGTTTCAGAAGTACAAATCTTTCAGAGATAAAATATTTCTAGAAAGAATACAAATTCTGTAATCAATAATAATTTTGTTTGGCGCACAGAACTTCCTTTATGTTGACACGAATTATAATAGACATGTTCGTGTTTCCTATGACATTGAGTCATATTAACATTCCTTGTAGTCATCCTTGAAATTTAACAAATCATTACAGCGGTTTCATTTTCTAAGAAAGACATCCGATTTATTGCAAAAATTTGACAATACACTTAAATGCCATTTGAATTTTTCAATTCGAATCTTTCTCAATACGTTTTGCCAGTTAGCTGTGCAAGATGCACAATGAGACACACACAGTTTTTCCTTAAGTCAATCATTCTCCTTTAGCAAAAATCCCAAGTTTACACTGCGAGAATCATATCGACTTAAGTTTTGCAAATATGGTGGATTCAGGATGACCAGGAACCTATTTGAAATAGTATGACATTGGTCGGGCTAAATATTAAAAACATAGAAGGAAGAATTGGGGACAAGAAGCTTACAGGTTAGCATAGGTTCTTATTTTAATG